ATGCATATTAGTTACCTTCTTCAGCGATTTTTACTCGCACCGCGTGTTGTTCGCATATTTTTTGCATTTTTCATATTTATCAGCACTACAACACTCCAACTCTCATATGAATATATGCATATATACATATGTATAATACATAAATATGCTGACAAGTTGCTATAGTGTTGCTTGTGTGTATGCGCGCTTATTGTGTCCGTCCAATGTATGGTAGTGACGTTCAAACAATACCGTTCACAAGTGACCTTGCTATGTGGGCCGTCAAGTTTTGACTAATAGCATCACACATCAAACATTACACATTAAAGACCGCACAAAGTTCCCTCGTTTCTTAGTAATTTTGCGTTGAATTTGTTAGTCATAATTATAATAATGGTGCTTGCAAGTGATTAGCAAATTTTGATGCCCCTCCATATATGTACTATATATATACTATTAATATATGTTATATACTTTCAATGGGCAAATAGACATATATGTACATATTTATAATGTATGGAATTAGAGTAGGCAATAGAAATTGCTTTGTAATGTTACTAATTTATAGACATTTATTTATAGCTAGAAATGATATATTAATAGGTAAGTTGCATGATCTTTTTACGGTTTTTATGAATATAGAAGTAAAAGTAATGCAAATTACCGCTTCTCATAGCTTTTAACTCTGGCATTTAACTATAAACGCCTACCGGGTGTTGCCTGAAAAGATAATAGGGCGCAGTCACTTTCTAGTTTGAAATTTTATTTCTATTTCAAATATGAAAGGGTACTAAACTCTCTAATTATTTCATATTCCTTATGCAGCCTCTTTGTTTTTACTACTTTCGCATTGAATTTCTCTTAATACCAGTACTAGTATTTAATAAGTTTAGGTTCAATTTATGGATTTTAAATAGCTCAATATATATACATATGTATGTGCAAAAAATAGCAAAACTTTTTCATGTAAATATCGCGGAAAACCCAATCGTTTAAATATTTGTTTTCTTGATTTATGTGCCAATTGTCACAACAAAATTTCATTAGTGTTTCGTATACGCTTGTCTTTCTGAAATAATGTAAATTATCGACATCCGATATGTTCCGATCACGGAGCCCTGCATTGATGGATTCAAGCCTCAGAAAAAAATTGCCTATAAATTTCAAATAATTTTCACTTCTTTCTTTCTTTTTCGGGAAAACTTGCTAAAGCCAGTTGAATTGTAAACGCTCTTTAAAGAGTCTTGTTAAGTTAATTAATTCAATCAGCGGTCAAATATCGACAATCTCTAGGGAGAGTTGGCTATCAATAGATCTGAAATTATTCTGAAAGCAATTATTTATAAACATTCAATAAGTTTGTCAAAATACTCACATTTTAATTCTATACTGCCGAAATTATCAATGAGATACTGAGTTGAAATAATAGCTGCCATCGATTCGCCATTTCTCTGCGCGCTTCTACTCTCTGCCCAAAAAAAAAATAGAAATACAACTAAAAAAAAAATACAAGTGAAAGCAACAACAAAGTTCACATATAGTAAATAATTAATGCAGTAAAGCCACGTCCTTTCCTGTACATTTTAGATAAGTTCTATTATTATGAAAGAGTTAAATAGCAAATGATAATCGAATTTTTTTATTGCATTTTTAAAACATAAAACTTAAAATAAGTTATAATAGATTAAAGAAAATCAAAAAAAAAAAAAAAAAAAAAAAAA